TTGCAGCATGTTGCAAGCTGGTCGCGCATAGGGCAAGTGCGCGAGGGACTCGGATCGGCAAAACAAAAAGCCGAGCAACACGAGTAGAGCAGAAAAAGGATCGATAAATAAACGCGATCAATACAATCAATCAATCATCCCATATACATCATATCCAAACCCATCATTCATCTCAGGAAGCCCAGAAACAGTGCTTAAATCTGACAATTCTATATAATGCTATAGTTTCTCAGATTCTTTAGGACGTTCTACACAGCAAATGTGCTACAGTTCTTGTAATTAGCAATTAGCTAAGGCTTCTATGTAGGCTAGAGAAAGTAATAGTTAAATCTTTAATTAAGTTTAATCAGAAAGGCTTTCACTAGTACAACAACTCTACGCAAACAGCGCTTAACAAGGAGAGAAAGGTAATAGGTAAGATAAGATCCTGTAAGCGTAAGATATAGCAAAGTAGCTGTAGGTAACACTAGAGATACAGTTGCAACACTAAAAGTTAGCTTTACATTTAACTCTACTTAGGTAATTTAAATCTTATAATAGGGCAATAATGTTAGCATAATTTTAGGCGTAATATACGTCTTCTGTAATTTATTTAAGGTTTGCTGTAGGGAGAAGAAAACATGTAGATGTGCTAAGGAATTCTCTTAATTAAAGCAACTAATAAATCCGCTAAATCGCAGATTCGCCTAGAGGAGTCAAGGGGCTTAGCGTCTGCAAAGGATTTGTAAAGCCGCCGGTCCTTACAAGGGTGATAATGCACTGTAAGGCCGGAAGAGGCCTGTACTAGGGTTGTTATAAAAGAAAAGGCTAGAAGCGACTAGTACTAGATTAGGATTGCTTAATCCTGTGTTTCTAGCCTTAGTCTCTTTGTTTAACCCTGTCTATATAATGCTGTTCTGCTGCCTCCTTAGTTGGGCAGCGATTTGTCTCTCTCTTACACACGAATATACGCTTTATCACTCTACTCTTAACTTCTACTGCATGTTACTATTGCTAGCCTTACAGGCTCTGTAATCTTTTTCTAAGCAAACCTAAAGCAACAATGAGCAATATCAGCCGGAGCAATTAAACGTAAGTGACAATTTGCTAAGTATGGTAGTAATGTACGATTTTTGAAAACGACATAACTTTAGGGCTATCACGTGGTCAATTTGTATCTGAACACTCCCGAAAGCCACTTCTCCCAATTAATCTCTTCTTCTTTACCGAACCATTGAGCCCACTTCGTCTACACCCAATAGCCTGGTATTAAGGATTAGCATTTGCCTAGTTCCTTAGCGGTATAACATCTGCTGGCGGTTCGTGCTGCAGATGTCCAGCTTGCTATTAGGCTAGCCTTCACACTACTTCGCTAGATACATTTACTTGACATGAAGTAAACATTTAGCTCTTTAGAACGTTTCGTATGCGTGATGTAAACGGCGCGAGGAGAATTCCCCCACGTCAGCTCGAATAAAGATAAACCCCAAAAACCCTCATATTACAAATCAGCACAGCCTGCGTTTAACGTGGCTCATCTCCCAGGATTGTATTCTCAGCGCAAAGTGATATGCCATTCCTTAGAGATAACAGGACGATTTTCATTGCGTTTACCGTCAGATATGTTCGGCAAAGCAACAAATGTCTACAGGTATATGCTAAATTATCAAAAGCAAGATCGAAGGAACAGAGGATGAATAAAAAGACTAAGGACACATGATTGGAATAAATGAATTTGTGCTTCATAGCAAGTGTTCTGTACAATTTCCGTTGCACTGAGTTCGTTATTGGTCCTTTGACTTGAATGCTGGTAGAAAGGACTTGCATGAGGCAAGCGGCGATTGTAAGTTGGTTGAAAGCGTTGTGATTGTTTCGACTAGCATATCAAGTAGCGGATGTGCCATTTCGGCTGCTAATATATGAGTGTTGCCAGCGACCATAATCTTGAGTTTATCGCCTTGTGGTTGCGACCAGACACTCAGATAAGATGGCACCCCGAAAGGATTGTTAAACCATTGTACCTTCGCGGTTTCCCCTGCGATGCGGGTTTCAAACTCCACATCGATGTTCTGATGCTGGATCACCGAGTCTAACGCCGACTCAGCAGGCCAGTCAGTACATTCTTTCATAATTTCATCCCATCCCATGGAGTCCGATTGTCCAAGTGAGATATGTTGCTCTTGGATAGAGTGGATGAGTTCTTGAGAAGTTCTTGTGTGGGGTGTAAAAGCCCTGACTGGAACTATGTTCAAGCAAGGCCCGACTATTTCTGTGACACCAGGAATGTCTGCATTGCGACCAGCAACCACATGTCCATAAATAATGTCATCTTCGCCAGTGATGTTTGAGAGGACTAAAGCCCAGGCGGAACTAACTAGGGATGCTATTGTAAGGTGCTCAGGAAGCCGAGGAGCGAAGATGGATTTCCCAACCCTGACCAAACGAGGGGTAGCATCCTCTGGCGCCTTAGGGAGAAGCTTCGCAGTAGCTCTAGTGTGGCTGGAGTTGCGGAGAAGTTCTCGCCAGTAGCGACCTGACGTCGTTCGTTGATCACGAGCATGTGCAAGATAGGTTGGAAAGCTAATAGTGGGCGGCAGGGGTTGTTGCTGGTAGATAGACACAAGCGTTCGCAATATGATTGGAAGACAAACACCGTCATACTGAGCATGAGAAAGACGCAAGATGAACCGATTCTCCTGGGACTTATTACGCACGAGAATGAAAGAAGTTGGAAGGCCAAGTGGATCGCAGTGTTCCAAGCCCCGCAAGAAGATCGCATGCGATTCTTCTGACAAGGATCCTATCACGTTGAACGTTGTGAATAGTGATCCAACGTCGCGAATAACAAGCTGCCATAACTGTCCTCGAGCGTGAGCAAACCGGGTACGGAGTATCGGGAAATGGTCGGCAAGCTTCCGACAGCTGTCTTTGAGGAGGTTCACATCCAACTGCGGCCCTATATCGAGGAAAAGGTAATTGAAGGCTACGCGAGGATTTTGTATGCCTTGAGTGATGAAATTCTGTTGTGCGCAGGTGGCAGGAAGAATGTCGACTAAATTATCGCGTTGTATACCTGTGTTGGAAAATTCGGGGGATGAAAGAATTTGCTCTTTGGTTTCAGGCGAGAGCAGGGAAAAGGGAAGGATTGATTGAACGAGCTTAGTGGATGCCCGACAAACGCGTACTAAATGGTTAAGACTAGGCTGTCGGAACACATCCGCTATAGTGAGTCGGATCCCTTGATGTCCAGCCTCACCGACTAGCTTCATGGCCGCGATCGAGTCACCGCCGAGGTGGAAGAAGCTGTCGTCCAGGCCGATGCTCTGCGGATCGATGTTCAGCACGCGAGCCCATAGCTGCTGCATCGTCTTCTCCGCCTTTGAGGTCGGCTGCTGCACGATCCCTCGATTGGATGTCATTTTTTGTCGTCGTCGTGCTAGTATCTTGCGGTCAACCTTGCCGTTTTGATTGACCGGCATTGCCTCTAGGATAGAGATTGTCTGGGGAACCATGTACGCAGGCAGCTGGGCCTCAAGCATGTCGTACAGCTGTTGTTGGGTTTTCTGCAGGAATTGGTGCCGTAAAGGCCTGCTGCTGAGACTCTGCAGCGGTCGACCCACGTCATCGCTAGGGAACCGGAACATCACCCGCTTCCCTCCATCGTGCGGCTGATACCGGTGGAAGACGGCGTCAAGACCACCTTTCCACGAGTACTGCCTGCTCCAGCTGATCTCAACCTGGTAGCCAGCTTCTTCGGCAAGGTCAACCAAGTCAGTGGCAGAAAGGGCGGGGACATGCTTCGCTTCCTTGTACACAGAGGAGAGCCAGTCCAGCTGAGCTGTTGTCTCTGTTGCCGCATTGTCCAGCGAGTCGACAAGGCAGCGGCTTACAATAGTCTTGCTGTGAGGGATATTGCTCACCGCGATTAGAGGTGAGGTAGAGGAACTGTGTAGGTGCTCTAAAAGAGATTGGCGGTCTAATTTGCGCTCCACAAAGTCGATCCATCTGTCTTGTTCAATGTGATGAATGTCATGCTCTGGCTGGCCTCGGGTCCTAACATGGACCACGACTGCGTATCGATAGCAGCTAAGCTCGTTGGTCACTTTCATCTTTTTGGGCATGATCTCGACGTGCTCGACTAGTCCTGGCAAGCGACTTGGTAAGGCGGTGAAAAACGCTGGGTCGACCAGCAGCTCTCGCTCGACGCGCTCCATGTCAGCCATCATGCGTAGAATGTCGGCCTTTGCGGCCTTGCCACCGGCCATGCGTAGCGCTCGGGTGGCCAGGAACTCGCGGTAGAGCGCGTACGACCGGATGTCGCCAAAGAAGAGGGTACGCACGCCTTTAAGCGTAAGCAGGTCCTGGATAAGCTTGAAAAGATAGTCCTGGCTGGGGAAGTACTGCACAACTGAGTTCATGACGACAAGATTGGCAGCGATTGGCCTTTCCAGTTGGCCAATGTCTGCTGCTGTGGCTTTATACATGTGCACCCTTCCTGCCAGTGCAGGCATGGACTTGACAGTTGCTGTGATGAAGTCGACAGCCTTTTGAGATGGCTCAAGACCGACATAGCTCTGCAGTCCCTTGCACACGTTGAAGAGGACCATACCGGTGCCAGATCCAATCTCTAGAACGTGCCCAGGCTCCTGACCGTTGAGTAGCGTGGCGATGGTGTCGTCTAGCCACTCGTTCATCTCTGCCTTGTCTATATCTGTACCGTCGTACATAGACGTCCATCCGATGAAGTCGCGTCCAATGATCTCGTGCCGAACTTTGTGGATTGGCGAGTAGATCTCGGCATCGAACTGCTCCTCCCATGTGTCGACGTGCCGCGATTCAGAGCCAGTGCCAGCCTGTTCATCAACCAGTGCATCCCCTTCATGGATAGTGACGAAGCCCGTGAGCTGGACCTCGTCACCATCGTGCTGTTGCAGCACAGTCGCTGCATCGCTGACAGAGCGGTGGCTGCGGAGGACGTGCTCGACCTCTCCCAGCTCGACACGGTTTCCCCGGATCTTAATCTGTCCATCCATCCGACCAAAGAACTCCAGAAGACCGTCTGTAGGGCGATGGCGGACGTAATCACCTGTTCGATAGGCCCTCACTGTCTGGCCAGCGACTGTGACTGTAACAAACCTATTGATGTTGTGCTGAGGGTCAGTGTATCCTCGTGCCAGACCGTCACCCGTGGCCACAAGTTCTCCCATAACCCCAAGTGGCACGAGACGCAGCTCCGGATCCATGACGTAGGCACCCGAGTTGCTTAGCGCTCGGCCAATAGGCACACCGTTGGTGAACTGCTCCGCCTTGTGCAGGACAAAAAGTGTGCTGAAGGTTGTGTTCTCTGTTGGACCATAGCAGTTGATAAGCTTACCCTTAAGGAGACTTTCAGCCGCAACGTAGTCCCGCGGATACAATGCTTCACCCCCAACACAAAGCATTTCGACTGCGACAAATATGGTAGAAGACTCTAGAGTGTACTGTCTAAACAACGCTGGTGTGAGCACAGCCATCCTAATGGCATGTTGACTGAATATCTGAACCATAGCCTCTAGGTCAAGTACTACCATTGCGTCAATGCAGACGAGCGTTCCGCCGTTCAAGAGAGAGGCATAAATCTCCCAAGTCGAGACATCGAAGGCAAGATTTGTCATATGCGCCATGACTCGCGATCCTGGTAGGTACTGCACTAGGTTGTTGTCTCTAACTAGGCGTACAATGCCGCGATGCTCTACCATCACCCCCTTGGGCTGTCCCGTCGACCCCGAGGTAAACATGACATATGCAAGGCTGGTAGCTGACGGCCCGACCATTGTAGCAGAATTACAACCCGAAGACTCATCATTGGCCTGCTCGTTCAGGACTTCGCCAATGCGGACAAACTCGACGTTGCTCAGCTTCACCTCCGGAGGCTGCACATCAGATCCAAGCAAGATGATCCTTTGGCCTGGAAGGGAAGAAAGGATAACTTCCATGCGCTTTCCTGGTATTTTGACATCAAACGGTAGGTATGCCAGGTTGGCCTTCAGAATGCCCAAGAACGCGGTTATGGTCTGGCAGCTTCGGCTTGCGAGCAAGCCAACCAGACTCTCAGGGGGGAACGAACGATGTACAAGCCACCGAGCAAGAAGATCTGATGCTCTGTCCAGCTCAGCGTAGCTCATTTCCGCTGAGGCGTCTATGACAGCGGTCCTGGACGGATAAGCAGAGACTTGCTGACGGAAGAGGTCGACAACACTCGACTCGCGCGGGTAATTGGTCTGCTCGACCTGAACTAGCCCCATCGCATCGAGCTTGGCGAAGTCGCTATTAGTTAACAACGGCAAGGATGCAACCACCGCCTTCGGGTCTCCCAGGCACCCCTGGAGGACGCTGTGGAAGAGCGACAGCATATTGTCGATTGTCTCGGGCGCATAGAGGTCCGTTGAGAAGACAACATTACCCTGGAGGCCATTTGTCTGAGGATAGAAATGGAACTCAAGGTCGAACCTAGAGGTTGCTGCGCTATGCATGCCCTCTGTTTCCACGCCTTCTAACATTAGTTGTCCTAGGTTTCGCTGCGAGTGCACCGCAAAGACAACCTGGACAAGTGGATGACGAGAAAGGTCTCTGTCCTGCTTAAGCTGCGAGACAATGCTCTCAAACGGCACGTCCTGGTTGGCAAGCGATGCAACTGTTACAGCGTGAACCTGCTGAACTAGCTCTTCAAAACTCTCGTCATTAATCGTGATCCGAAGGCACTGCATGTTAACAAAGAATCCAATAATGTCTTTAACCTCCCACCGGTCCCGATTTGCATTTGCAGTGCCAATGGTGGCATCATCCTGGCCTGTAAGGCGGAAGTGTGTAGCTCTAAAGGCAGCGAGCAGAGCCACGAACAGCGTCACCTCGTGCGCTTCGCAGAACTGTTGCAGCTCCGCATACAGACGACCGCTAATCTCTACAGTTCGAATATCAGCCTTGCCAGAAAGAGTCGAGGGTCTGGGCTTGTCGCAGAGCAGCTCTGCCGGTCGGCTTTCCTGGAGTTGCGTCAGCCAGTAGCTGAGCTGTCTCTGGTGCTCGTCGACTTGGGCTTGTTGTCTCTGCCACACAGAGAAGTCGCGGTACTGTATAGGCAGAGGTTGAACCTGGGATAGTGGGTCCTGGCTGCGCAACGCGGCGGAGTAGAACACAGCCAGTTCGCGCATAAGCACATCGACAGACCAGCCGTCGGACACGATGTGATGCATGACGATGGAGAGCAAGTGATCATTTTTGTGGACTCGGTAGACTGATACTCTCCATCCAGGCTCAGTGCGTAGATCGAAGGGAGTTGTCTGGTCCTGTTGCACAGCATCCGTCAGATGCTGTTCATTGCCTGGGAGAACGTCAATGACGTTGAGCTCTTTAGCGCGGAAGGGCTGAACAATCTGCATACTGACACCTCCATCAGTAGCGAATGTTGTACGTAGGGTTTCATGGCGGCTTTCGATTGCATGGATAGCGGCGTTCAGTGCTGTAAGCTGGAGGGGGCCCGTGAGACGCAGTGCAAGTGGCATGAGATACCAGGTCAGACCAGGGTGGAGTTCTTCCAGGAACCACAAACGGCCTTGGGCGAACGATTGCTTGACAGGAGCAACTTGATCAACGTGCGGGATAGTGGTAAGGGAGTTTTGTGTTGATGCAATGACTGCAGAGGCTAACTGGTCCAGCTGCGGGTGGCGGAAGATGTGAGCAACACTCAGGTGCATTCCCATCCTGCGAGCTTCGCCGACTAGCTTCATAGCCACGATCGAGTCGCCGCCGAGGCGGAAGAAGCTGTCGTTTAGCCCAATTGTCTGCGCCTCGATGCCCAGCACGCGACCCCACAGTTGCTGTAGCGTGCTTTGTACCGTTGACAGTTCTTGCTGCCGCACGATCCCTCTATTAAATGTTTCTTTTCCCCGTCGTTGCGCGAGCATCTTGCGGTCGACCTTGCCGTTCTGGTTGATCGGCATTGCCCGCAGGACTGTAATGCTCTGAGGGACCATATAAGCAGGCAGCTGGGCCTCAAGCATCTCGTGCAACTGTTGTTGGGTGGTCTGCAGGAATTGGTGCCGCAACGGCCTGCTGCTGAGACTCTGCAGCGGTCGATCCACGTCATCGCTAGGGAACCGGAACATCACCCGCTTCCCTCCATCTTGCGGCTGATACCGGTGGAAGACGGCGTCCAGACCACCCTTCTGTGAGTGCTGTCTGCTCCAGCTAATCTCGACCTGGTAGCCGGCTTCTTTGGCAATGTCAACCAAGTCGGTGGCAGAAAGGGCGGGGACAAGTTGTGCTTCCTTGTACACAGAGGAGAGCCAGTCCTGTTGAGCTGTTGTCTCCAATGCCGCATCGTTCAGAGAGGCGATAAGGCAGCGACTAGCAATAGTCTTGCTGTGAGGGATATTGCTCACAGCGATTAGAGGTGAGGTGGAGGAGCTGTGCAGGTGCTCTAGGAGAGACCGGCGATCTAGTTTGCGCTCTGCAAAGTCGACCCATCTGTCTTGTTCAACGTAGTGGATGCCATGCTCTGGCTGGCCTCGGGTCCTGATGTGGACCGCCACTGCGTATCGATAACAGCTAAGCTCGTTGGTCGCTTTCATCTTTTTGGGCAGAATCTCGACGTACTCGACGACCCCTGGCAAGCGACTTGGCAGGGCGGTGAAAAACGCTGGGTCAACCAGCAGCTCCCGTTCGACTCGCTCCATATCGGCCATCATGCGTAGAATGTCAACCTTTGCGGCCTTGTCGCCGGCCATTCGTAGCGCTCGGGTAGCTAGGAACTCGCGGTACAGCGCGTGCGACCGGATGTCGCCAAAGAAGAGGGTACGCACGCCTTCAAGCGCTAGCAGGTCCTGGATGAGCTTAAAAAGATAGTCCTGGCTGGGGAAGTATTGCACAACTGAGTTTAGGACCACAAGGTTGGCAGTAATTGGCCGTTCCAGCTGGCTAACATCCGCTGCTGTGGCTTTATACATGTGCACCCTTCCTGCCAGTGCAGGCATGGACTTGACAGTTGCCATGATGAAGTCGACAGCCTTTTGAGATGGCTCAAGACCGACATAGCTCTGCAGGCCCTTGCCCAGGTTGAAGAGGACCATACCGGTGCCTGATCCAATCTCTAGAACGTGCCCAGGCTCCTGGCCGTTGAGCAGCGTGGCAATGGTGTCGTCTAACCACTCGTTCATCTCTACCTTGTCTATATCCGTACCGTCGTACATAGACGTCCATCCGATGAAGTCGCGTCCAGTAGTCCCGGGTCGAACGTTGTAGATCGAAGAGTAGACATCGACATCGAACTGCTCTTCCCATGCTTCGACATGCTGCGATTCAGGGGCAGCACCAGTTTCACCGGCCAGCGCATCATCTTCATGGATAGTGACAAACCCTGTGAGCTGGACTTCATCATCATCGTCCTGTTGCAGCACCGTCACTGCATCGCTTACAGAGCCGTGGCTGCGGAGGGCATGCTCGATTTCTCCCAGCTCGACACGGTTTCCCCGGATCTTGATTTGTCCATCCATCCGACCGAAGAACTCCAGAAGACCGTCTGTAGGGCGATGGCGGACGTAATCACCTGTCCGATAGGCCCTCACTGTCTCACCAGCGACTGTTACAGTAACAAACCTATTGATATCTCGCTGGGGTTCAGTGTATCCTCGTGCCAGACCGTCACCCGTGACAATGAGCTCTCCGATGACTCCGAGTGGCACGAGTTGTAGCTTCGGATCCATGACATAGGCGCCCGAATTGCTTAGCGCTCGGCCGATAGGCACACCGTTGGAGAACTGTTCTTTCTTTTGCAGGACAAAGGTCGCGCTAATGCCTGTGTTCTCTGTCGGACCATAGCAGTTAATAAGCTTACCCGTGAGGATCGTTTCTGCTGCAAAGTAGTCCCGCGGGTACATTGCTTCACCTCCCACACAAAGCATTTGGACTGAGGTGAATATCGCAGGAGACTCTAGAGTGAACTGTCTAAACAAGGTTGGTGTGAACACGGCCATCCGAATGGCGCGTTGATTGAATATCTGAACCATAGCCTGTGGGTCAAGCACTGCCATTGCGTCAATGCAGACGAGCGTTCCGCCGTTCAAGAGACAGGCATAAATCTCCCATGTCGAGACGTCGAAAGCAAGATTTGTCACGTGTGCCATGACTCGTGATGCTGGTAAATGCTGTACGAGGTTGTTGTCTCTAACCAGACGCACAATGCCGCGATGCTCTATCATTACCCCCTTGGGCTGTCCTGTCGATCCCGAGGTAAACATGACATATGCAAGGCTGTTAGCTGACGGCCCGAACATTGTAGCAGATTTACACTCCGAAGACTCATCGTTAGCCTGCTCGTTCAGGACTTCGCTGATGCGGACGAACTCGACGTTCTTCACCTTGACCTCCGGAGGCTGCACGTCAGATCCAAGCAAGATGACCCTCTGTCCTGGAAGGGAAGAAAGGATAGCTTCCATGCGCTTCCCTGGTATTTTGACATCAAACGGTAGGTACGCCAGGTTGGCCTTCAGAATGCCCAGGAACGCGGCTATGGTCTGGCAGCTTCGACTTGTGAGTACACCAACCAGACTCTCAGGGGGGAACGAGCGGTGTACCAGCCACCGAGCAACGAGATCTGATCCCCTATCTAGCTCAGCGTAGCTCATTTCCGCTGAAGCGTCTGTGACGGCGACCCTGGACGGATAAGCAGAGACTTGCTGACGGAAGAGGTCAATAACGCTCGACTCGCGCGGGTAGTTGGTCTGCTCGACCCTAACTAGCCCCATCGCATCAAGCTTGGCGAAGTCGCTGTCAGTTAACAACGGCAAGGATGCAACCTCTGCCTTCGGGTCCCTCAGGCACCCCTGGAGGACGCTGTGGAAGAGCGACAGCATGTTGTCAATTGTCTCGGGCGCATAGAGGTCTGTTGAGAAGACAACATTACCCTGGAGGCCATTTGTCTGAGGATAGAAATGGAACTCAAGGTCGAACCTAGATGTTGCTGCGCCATGCATGCCTTCTGTATCCAAGCCTTCTAGTACCAGTTGTCCCAGGTTTTGCTGAGAGTGCACCGCAAAGACGAGCTGGACGAGTGGGTGACGAGACAGGTCTCTGTCCTGCTTAAGCTGCGAGACAATGCTCTCGAACGGCACGTCCTGGTTAGCAAGCGATGCAACCGCCATCTCGTGGACCTGTTGAACAAGTTCTTCGAAACTCTCGTCGTTAACTGTAATCCGAAGGCACTGCATATTAACAAAGAATCCAATAATGTCTTTAACCTCCCACCGATCCCGATTTGCATTTGCAGTGCCAATGGTGGCATCATCCTGGCCTGTAAGGCGGAAGTGCGTAGCTCTAAAGGCAGAGAGTAGAACCACGAATAGCGTCACCCCATGCGCGTTGCAGAACCCCTGCAGCTCTGCGTACAGCCGGCCGCTGATATCTAGCGTTCGAATATCGGCTTTGCCAGATAGAGTCGCGGGTCTAGGCTTGTCGCAGATCAGCTCTGCCGGTCGGCTTCCTTGGAGCCGGGTCAGCCAGTAGCTGAGCTGTCTCTGGTGCTCGTCGACCTGGACTTGTTGTCTCTGCCACACAGAGAAGTCACGGTACTGAATGGGAAGCGGTTGAAACTGGGATAGTGGGTCCTGGCTGCGCAACGCGGCGGAGTAGAACGCAGCCAGTTCACGCATAAGCACAGCGACAGACCAGCCGTCAGAGACGATGTGATGCATCACAATGGACAGTGCGTGATCGTCTTCATTGACTCGGTAGACGGATACTCGCCATCCAGGCTCCGTGTGCAGGTCGAAGGGAGTTGTCTGGTCCTTCTGCACAGCATCCGCAAGACCCTGTTTATCGCCTGAGAGAATGTCGATGACATTGAGCTCTTTGGCGCAGAAGGGCTGAACAATCTGCACACTGACGCCGCCATCAGTGGCGAACGTTGTCCGGAGCGTCTCGTGGCGACTCTCGATTGCGTGAACGGCGGTGTTAAGTGCTGTGAGCTGAAGCGGGCCCCTGATGCGCACTGCAAACGGCACGAGGTACCAGTTCAAGCCAGGATACAGTTGCTCTAGGAACCACAGTCGGCCTTGCGCAAACGATGGCTCCACGGGACTAACATGATCAATGTGCGGAATTGCGGTATGGGAGTTGTGTGTTGAAGCAGTGGCTGCAGAGGCTAACTGATCCAGCCGCGGATTACGGAAGATGTCAGCTACACTTAAGTGCATTCCTATCCTGCGAGCTTCACCAACTAGCTTCATGGCCGCGATCGAATCGCCGCCGAGGCGGAAGAAGCTATCGTCCAGCCCAATACTTTGGGGCTCTATGTGCAGCGCTTGCCCCCACAGCTGCTGCATGGTCTGCTCTGTCTGCGTGGATGGTAGCCGCTTCGGCCCTTGGCTTAATGCCCGCATCTCCACTAGTTGTTGGGCCGAAAACAAGGCCCCAATTTCTCGCAATCGCTTCCTGTCAATCTTTCTTGATGAGGTAGCTGGCAAACTTGGTACTGGAATGAACACGGAGGGTACCATGTACTGTGGGAGCCATTGCTCTAGCCTGGCCTGTATTGCCTGTATGACGTTCTGTGTATACGGCCGCGGTGTAGCATGTTCCTCGTCCTCGTGCGCCGGGGGATCTGTCCTACTGTCGACTACGATGAAACAGGCCAAAATACCACCTTCTTCCTCCTGAGGGTGAATAAGCTCAACCGCAATCTGCTTCACATCTGTGCTTGCAAGCTGGGCTTGATGCTCTATCTCCCCCAGCTCAATGCGCTGCCCACGCAGCTTTACTTGGTTGTCCTTTCGCCCAAGCAGCTCAATTGACCCGTCGTGCTTGTATCTCGCCAGGTCTCCGGTCTTGTAGAGACGTAGTGGGCTTACATTTGCTGGAAAGGAGCCCCTCCACGCTGGAGCTTTAATAAAAGTAGCGGCTGTCTTGTCAGGCTCGTTAATGTACTCTCGGCCAAGTACAGCCCCTTCGATGAGCACCTCGCCAATGGCTCCGATTGGAGCAAGCTTGCTGTGGTCATTCGGATCCACAATCCAGTAGACGCCTGTGGTTGCTCGGCCTACATCTTTAGTTGAGGATGTACTATTCAGTCTCATGGACGAGACAAAACCAGACGTCTCGCTACTTCCATATGTTTGCCGCAGGTACACCCAGGCTTCCCACTGCGCTATCTGAGAGATGCGTATTGGTTCTCCGCCTACGCATACAGTAGTCAATGATGGTACTGCCTTAGGACTGAGGAGATCAAGGACAGTTGAAGTAAGGAATGCCCAGTTAATTCCCATCCTAGAGATAGCTGAGGCTAGATTACTTGTCCTCTCCTCGTCTGTCGGGATGCAGACACAGCCTCCATGGGTTAGAGATAGAAGAATCTCAGCCAACGAACCAGCAAAAGAGTATGATCCAAACTGGAGCGTTCGAGTCCTGTGGTGCATTCCAACGTGTCGGCCGTGGCCTACCACAGCGGAGCAAGCTGACCGATGCTCAATTCTGCATCCCTTTGGTTCTCCAGTGCTTCCAGAGGTGAAGATAACATAGGCCGTATCTGTAGGCTGCACTACGGCGGTCCGAGAAGCGTGTTGAGCGACATGCACTATTGAGTTTTCGTTGACAATCATGACAGCTCTAACCAAACTTTCTACAACCGGTACCGCTGCTGCAGATGCCAGGGCAAGCGTACTATACACTCTACTACACATCACCTTCAGACGTTCGTGGGGCAAAGATAAGTCAAGAAGGAGAAATGCTCCGCCCGCCTTGAGCACCGCCAACATTGCGACCACGGTCCACATGGACTTCTCAAAGCACAGTGGCACAATGTCTTCTGGCTTGACACCCAGCCCAACGAGGTGGCTTGCAAGTCTAGTGGACAGCGCATCCAGCTCGCCGTATGTCATCTCGCCGTCCCATGAGCAAATGGCGGGCGCATCGGGCTGTTCCCGGACCTGCTCTGCGAACAGGTCGTGAATGCACCGTTCAACCGCCGCCGGCATTTCGCGGTTCCACGCCCACAACTCTGTTCTCTCCTCAGGCGTGAGTGGGTCCATATCAGCCACTTTCTCATCTGGTTGTGCTCTGGCCAACTGTTGCATGATGAAGCTGAACTGGCTCAATATCTTCTTAACCAGCCACTCCTCTATCACCTGCCTGTCGAAGCTTGCTGTGATGCATATCCCGTCTGCAGACAGTGTGCACTGCAGCATCAGCCCGTAAGTCGAGAAGTCTTGCAGCTCGGAGCGGCCACGCCACTCTCCTAGCACCCGATTGTTTCCAGGGGCGTCGCTTGTAGGCTGCACAACCAGAAGAGTCTGGAAGCCGCAGGCAAGCCGCGCGCCTGCCGATATCTTGGCAATCCGTTGCAGTCCAGTCTGCTCGTACGGAATCATGTCCGTCGCTTGCTGCTGCAATCTATGGAGGAAGGCAGATATAGTCTGATCGCCTGCCACTCGCACCCGCACTGGCACAGTTGCGATAGTAGGCCCAATTATGGCTTCAATGCCAGCAACAGGAGCATTCCGTCCTGTGACTGTAGTGCCGAACACCACATCATCTGAGTTTGTATATCGACTGGTGATGATGGCCCAGGCGGCGCGGACAAGCGCCGATGTTGTCGTGTCAGAGGGTGCTTTGGGAAGCGGAGGGCATTGATAGTCTATCATTGCATCCGCAACAGGCTGCTGCACTGCTGACGGCAGGGGCGGGAATAGTGTTGCCTGGCAGTCATAGAGAGCGTTCTTCCAATACATCGCCGTGACCTCCTCGTCGTGCTGGTTGAGATATTTGATGAAGGCGTGAAAACCAGGCCGCTGTTCTACCACGCCCTCGGTGTACGCCTTAGTTACCACATCTATGATGTGAGGGAGCGACCAGCCGTCGTACAATGCGTGGTGAACTGTCCACACCACCCAGCGCTTCGCTTCTTTTGCTTCCGTTATAATGGCGTAGCGTGTCAAGGGATCACCGAGCCCCATGGACACTGACTTGTCCTTCTCAAGGTACTCCTCTAGTCCTTCTGCCTCAAGCCACGGGATGTCCTCTGCTATCACGGCCTGAAGCAAGCCAAGATTGCTGTTCTGCACGATCCGCGTACGCAACACTGCCATTGAGCGGAAGACGTTCTCCCAGGCAGCTCGGAAAGCCTCTTCGTCTATCTCAGCCCGTAGCTCCAGCACACCCTGCATGATGTAGTCTCCGGCTCGCTTGGACGTCAGCGATACCAGCCCTTCCTGCAACGGCGAGCATGGGTATAAGTCCTCGACGAGACTGGTATCAACACCGCAGGTGACGGCCGCTTCCTCGCGGGCGGCGGCTACGTCCACCTCTTCGCCTAGCAGAGAAAAGGGAAGAATGTCTTCGGTAGAGGTGCCGCTATGGCTGTAGTCTAAGCCAGCCAGGTCAGTGAGTGTAGGATTGCGGAAGATGTCTGCCACGCTTAGGCGCATTCCCATCTTGCGAGCTTCACCGACCAGCTTCATAGCCGCGATAGAGTCACCGCCGAGGCGGAAGAAGCTGTCGTTCAGGCCAATTCTCTCCGGCTCAATGCCCAGCCCGTGAGCCCATAGTTGCTGCATTCTGGTTTGTGCCGTCGATAGTTTCTGCAGCGGCATGATTCCTTGATTAAATGTTACTTTTTGTCGTTGTTGCGCGAGCATCTTGCGGTCGACCTTGCCGTTCTGGTTGATCGGCATTGCCTCCAGGACAGTAATGCTCTGAGGAACCATGTAAGTAGGCAGCTGCGCCTCAAGCATTTCGTGTAACTGCTGTTGGGTTTTCTGCAGGAATTGATGCCGTAATGGTCTGCTGCTAAGACTATGCAGCGGTCGATCCACTTCATCGCTAGGGAACCGGAACATCACCCGCTTCCCCCCATTTTGCGGCTGATACCGGTGGAAGACGGCGTCAAGACCACCTTTCCACGAGTACTGCCTGCTCCAGCTGATCTCAACCTGGTAGCCAGCTTCTTCGGCAAGGTCAACCAAGTCAGTGGCAGAAAGGGCGGGGACATGCTTCGCTTCCTTGTACACAGAGGAAAGCCAGTCCTGCTGAGCTGTTGTCTCTGATGCCGCATCGTCCAGCGAGGCGACAAGGCAGCGGCTTAAAATGGTCTTGCTGTGAGGGATATTGCTCACCGCCATCAGAGGTGAGAGGGAAGAACTGTGCAGCTGCTCTAGAAGAGACTTGGGATCTAATTTACGCTCCGCAAAGTTAATCCATCTGTCTTGTTCAATTTGATGAATATAATGGTCTGGCTGGCCTCGGGTCCTGGCGTGGACCACGACTGCGTATCGATAGCAGCTAAGCTCGTTGGTCGCTTTCATCTTCTTGGGCAGGATCTCGACATGCTCGACTAGCCCTGGCAAGCGACTTGGCAGGGCGGTGAAAAACGCTGGGTCAACCAGCAGCTCCCGCTCGACTCGCTCCATATCGGCCATCATGCGTAGAATATCGCCCTTTGCGACCTTGTCGCCAGCCATGCGTAGCGCTCGGGTAGCTAGGAACTCGCGGTACAGTGCATACGACCGGATGTCGCCAAAGAAGAGGGTACGCACGCCTTCAAGCGCAAGCAGGTCCTGGATGAGCTTAAAAAGATAATCCTGGCTGGGGAAGTATTGCACAACTGAGTTTAGGACCACAAGGCTGGCAATAATTGGCCGTTCTAGCTGGCTAACATCCGCTGCTGTGGCTTTATACATGTGTACCCTTCCTGCCAGTGCAGGAATAGACTTAGCAGTTGCCATGATGAAGTCGACAGCCTTTTGAGATGGCTCAAGACCGACATAGCTCTGCAGGCCCTTGCCCAAGTTGAAGAGGACCATACCGGTGCCTGATCCAATCTCTAGAACATGCCCAGGTTCCCGACCGTTGAGCAGCATGGCGATGGTGTCGTCTAGCCACTCGTTCATCTCCGCTTTGTCTATATCCGTGCCGTCATACATAGACGTCCATCCGATGAAGTCGCGTCCAATGGTCTCCGGTCGAACGTTGCCGATTGGAGAGTAGATCTCGGCATCGAACTGCTCCTCCCATGCGTCAACGTGCTGTGATTCGGGGCTAGAACTGCCCTGCTCATCTACCAACGCATCGCGTTCATGGATAGTGACAAAGCCTGTGAGCCGGACCTCATCATCAACATACTGTTGCAGCACAGCCACTGCATCGCTTACAGAGCCGTGGCTGCGAAGGACGTGCTCAATTTCCCCCAGCTCAACACGATGTCCCCGGATCTTGATTTGTCCGTCTATCCGGCCGAAGAACTCCAGAAGACCGTCTGTAGGGCGATGGCGGACGTAATCACCTGTTCGATAGGCCCTCACTGTCTGGCCAGCGATTGTGACGGTAACAAACCTATCGATGTCTCGCTGGGGATCAGTGTATCCTCGTGCCAGACCGTCACCAGTGACAACGAGCTCTCCAATGACTCCGAGTGGCACGAGTTGTAGCTTCGGATCCATGACATAGGCGCCCGAATTGCTCAGCGCGCGACCAATAGGCACGCCGTTAGTGAACTGTTCCTTCTTGTGCAGGACAAAGGTCGCGCTGATCCCTGTATTCTCTGTCGGCCCATAGCAGTTAATAATCTTACCAGTGAGGATACTTTCTGCTGCAAAATAGTCCTGTGGGTACATTGCTTCACCGCCCACACAAAGCATTTCGAGCGCAGTGAATATCGCAGAAGACTCTAGAGTCAACTGTCTAAACAAAGATGGTGTAAACACAGCCATCCGAATAGCGCGTTGAGTGAATATCTGAACCATGACCTGTGGGTCAAGCACTGCCATTGCGTCAATGCAGACGAGCGTTCCGCCGTTCAAGAGACAGGCATAGATCTCCCATGTCGAGACGTCGAAAGCAAGATTCGTCATGTGTGCCATGACTCGCGATGCTGGCAGATGCTGCACGAGGTTGTTATCTCTAACCAGACGCACAATGCCGCGATGCTCTACCATGACCCCCTTAGGCTGTCCCGTCGATCCCGAGGTAAACATGACATATGCAAGGCTGGTAGCTGATGGCCCGACCGCTGTATCAGATTTACACCCCGCAGACTCATCGTTAGCCTGCTCGTTCAGGACTTCGGTAATGCGGACGAACTCGACGTTACTCAACTTGACTTCTGGAGGCTGCACGTCAGATCCAAGCAAGATGACCCTCTGGCCTGGAAAGGAGGAAAGGACAGCTTCCATTCGCTTTCCTGGTGTTTTAACATCAAATGGTAGGTACGCCAGGTTGGCCTTCAGAATTCCCAAGAACGCAACGATAGCCTCGCAGCTTCGATTCGCAAGCATTCCGACCAGACTCTCAGGCGGTAACGAGCGACGTACCAGCCACCGAGCAAGAAGACCCGATGCCCTGTCCAGCTCAGCGTAGCTCATTTCCGCTGAAGCGTCTGTGACAGCGACCCTAGATGGATGAGTAGATACTTGCTGGCAGAAGAGGTTCACAACGCTCGACTCGCGCGGGTAGTTGGTCTGCTCGACCCGAACTAGCCCCATTGCATCGAGCTTAGCGAAGTCGCTGTTAGTCAATAACGGCAAGGACGCAACGACCGCCTGTGGATCTCTTAGGCACCCTTGGAGGGTGCTGTGGAAAAGCGACAACATGTTGGCGATTGTCTTGGGGTCATAAAGGTCCGTTGAGAAGAAGACATTGCCGTGTAGGCCATTAGGCTCTTGGAAGAAGTGAAACTCAAGGTCAAACCTTGACGTCGCTGCCCCATGTATACCCTCTGTTTCCACGCCTTCCAGTACCAGTTGTCCCAGGTTTTGCTGAGAGTGCACCGCAAAGACAAGTTGTACAAGTGGATGACGAGACAGGTCTCTGTCCTGCTTAAGCTGAGAGACAATGCTCTCAAACGGCACGTCCTGGTTAGCAAGCGACGCAACTGTTACCCTGTGGACCTGTTGAACTAGTTCTTCAAAACTCTCGTCATTAATGGTGATCCGAAGGCACTGCATGTTAACAAAGAACCCAATAATATCTTTAACCTCCCACCGGTCCCGGTTAGCATTTGCAGTGCCAATGGTAGCATCATCCTGGCCTGTAAGGCGGAAGTGCGTAGCTCTAAAGGCAGCGAGCAGAGCCACAAACAGCGTCACTTCGTGCGCGTTGCAGAAATCTTGCAGCTCTGCATACAGCCGGCCGCTGATATCTAGTGTTCGAATATCGGCCTTGCCAGAGAGAGTCGCGGGTCTAGGCTTATCGCACATCAGCTCTGCTGGTCGGCTTCCCTGGAGTTGCGCCAGCCAATAGCTGAGCTGTTTCTGATGCTCATCAGCCTGTGCTTGTTGTCTCTGCCACACAGAGAAGTCGCGGTACTGGATGGGAAGAGGTTGAACCTGGGATAGAGGGTCCTGGCTGCGCAACGCGGCGGAGTAGAACACAGCCAGTTCGCGCATGAGCACATCGACAGACCAGCCGTCGGACACGATGTGATGCATGACAATCGACAGCAAATGATCATTTTTGTTGACCCGGTAGATTGATACTCTCCATCCAGGCTCAGTGCATAGGTCAAAGGAAGTTGTCTGGTCCTGTTGTACGGCATCCGCAAGACCCTGTTCATCACCTGGGAGAATTTCAATGACGCTGAGCTCTTTGGCGCAAAAGGGTTGCACAATCTGCACACTGGCGCCGCCATCAGTAGCGAATGTTGTGCGTAGGGTTTCATGGCGGGTTTCGATTGCATGAATAGCGGTGTTGAGCGCTTCCAGCTTAAGTGGGCCCTTGAGACGCACGGCAAGTGGCATGAGATACCAGGTAAGACCAGAGTGCAGTTCTTCTAGGAACCACAACCTGCGTTGGGCGAACGATTGATCGACAGGACCAGCATGATCAATGTGCGGGATAGCGGTAAGGGGGTTATGTGTTGATGCAATGACTGCAGAGGATAATTGGTCCAGCTGCGGGTGGCGGAATATGTCAGCTACGCTCAGGTGTATTCCTATCCTGCGAGCTTCGCCGACTAGCTTCATGGCCATGATTGAGTCGCCGCCGAGGCGGAAGAAGCTGTCGACCAGGCCAATACTCTGGGGGTCGATGTGCAACGCACGCGCCCACAGCTGCTGCATCTTCTTTTCTACTTCTAAAGTCGGTTGCTGTAAGGGCCCTTGATGGGATGTTCTGTTTTCTCGTCGTTGCGCGAGCGTCTTGCGGTCGACCTTGCCGTTCTGGTTGATCGGCATTGCCTTCAGGACAGTAATGCTCTGAGGAACCATGTAAGTAGGCAGCTGCGCCTCAAGCATCTCCTGCAACTGCTGTTGGGTTTTCTTCAGGAATTGATGCCGTAATGGCCTGCTGCTAAGACTCTGCAGCGGTCGACCCACGTCATCTCTAGGGAACCGGAACATCACCCGCTTCCCTCCATGCTGCGGCTGATACCGGTGGAAGACGGCGTCCAGACTACCATTCCGGGAGTGCTGCCTGCTCCAGCTGATCTCGACCTGGTAGCCAGCTTCTTCGGCAAGGTCAACCAAGTCAGTGGCAGAAAGGGCGGGGACATGCTTCGCTTCCTTGTACACAGAGGAAAGCCAGTCCTGCTGAGCTGTTGTCTCTGATGTCGTATCGTCCAGCAAGGCGACAAGGCAGCGGCTTATACTGGTTTTGCTGTGAGGAATATTGCTCACCGCGATTAGAGGTGAGGTGGAGGAGCTATGCAGCTGCTCTACAAGAGACTGGCGACCCAGTTTGCGCTCCGCAAAGTTAATCCATCTGTTTTGTTCAATGTGATGAATATCATGCTCTGGCTGGCCTCCAGTCCTGACGTGGACCACGACTGCGTATCGATAGCAGCTAAGCTCGTTGGTCGCTTTCATCTTCTTGGGCAGGATCTCGACATGCTCGACTAGCCCTGGCAAGCGACTTGGCAGGGCGGTGAAAAACGCTGGGTCAACCAGCAGCTCCCGCTCGACTCGCTCCATATCGGCCATCATGCGTAGAATATCAGCCTTTGCGACCTTGTTCCCGGCCATACGTAGCGCTCGAGTAGCTAGGAACTCGCGGTACAGCGCATACGACCGGATGTCGCCAAAGAAGAGGGTACGCACGCCTTCAAGGGCAAGCAGGTCCTGGATGAGCTTAAAAAGATAGTCCTGGCTGGGGAAGTATTGCACAACTGAGTTCATGACCACAAGGTTGGCAGTAATTGGCCGTTCCAGCTGGCCAACGTCTGCTGCTGTGGCTTTATACATTTGCACCTTACCTGCCAGTGCAGGCATAGACTTAGCAGTTGCCATGATGAAGTCGACAGCCTTTTGAGATGGCTCAAGACCGACATAGCTCTGCAGGCCCTTGCCCAAGTTGAAGAGGACCATACCGGTGCCTGATCCAATCTCTAGAACATGCCCAGGTTCCCGACCGTTGAGCAACGTGGCGATGGTGTCGTCTAGCCACTCGTTCATCTCCGCTTTGTCTATATCCGTGCCGTCATACATAGACGTCCATCCGATGAAGTCGCGTCCAATGGTCTCCGGTCGAACGTTGTGAATTGGAGAGTAGATCTCGGCATCGAACTGCTCCTCCCATGTGTCGACGTGCTGTGATTCGGGGCCAGCGCCAGCCTGCTCATCGGCCAGCCCATCGCCTTCATGGATGGTGACAAAGCCTGTGAGCTGGACCTCGTCATCATCGTGCTGTTGCAGCACAGTCACTGCATCGCTCACAGAGCCGTGGCTGCGGAGAACATTCTCGATCTCTCCCAGCTCGACACGGTTTCCCCGAACCTTGATCTGGCCATCCATCCGGCAGAAGAACTCTAGCAGCCCGTCTGTAGGGCGATGGCGGACATAATCACCTGTGCGATAGGCCCTCACCGTCTGGCCAGCAACAGTGACGGAAACAAACCTATTGATGTCTCGCTGAGGGTCAGTGTAACCTCGTGCCAGACCGTCACCCGTAACCACGAGCTCTCCAATGACTCCAAGTGGTACCAGTCGCAGCTCTGGATCCATGACGTGGGCACCCGAGTTACTCAGCGCGCGGCCAATAGGCACACCATTGGGCAAGTGCTCTTCCTTTTGGAGGATGAAGGACGTGCTAAAGGTTGTGTTCTCAGTGGGGCCGTATCCATTAATGATCTTGCTGCTCACTAAGCTCTGTATCGCGACAAAGTCTTTTTGGTGCAGGGGCTCCCCTCCCACACAAATCATGGCAAGCGTATTAAGTACAGCAGGAGACCCTAGAGCATGACTTCTGAACAGTGTTGTGGTCATGAAGGCTGTTTGGACATGGTGCTGACGAAACGTTCGTCCTAAAGCTTCCGGGTCCAACACCGCCATTGCGTCAATGCAGACGAGCGTTCCGCCGTTCAAGAGACAGGCGTATATCTCCCACGTGGAACCGTCAAAGGCAAGGTTAGCCATGTGCGCCATGACTCGCGATGCTGGCAGATGCTGGACGAGGTTGTTATCTCTAACCAGGCGCACAATGCCGCGATGCTCTACCATGACCCCCTTGGGCTGGCCTGTGGATCCTGAGGTAAACATGACATATGCAAGGTTGGTAGCTGACGGCCCGACCGCTGTACCAGATTTCCACCCCGCAGACTCATCCTTCGCCTGCTCATTCAGGATTTCGGTAATGAGGACGAAATCGACGTTGCTCTGCTTGGCCATCGGAGGCTGCACGTCAGATCCAAGCAAGATGATCGTCTGGCTTGAAAGGGAGGAAAGGATAGCTTCCATACGCTTCCCTGGTATTTTAACATCGAACGGTAGGTACGCCAGGTTGGCCTTTAGAATGCCCAGCAACGCAACGATGGCCTGACAACTTCGACTTGCGAGCACGCCGACCAGACTCTCAGGCGGGATAGAGCGACGTACCAGCCACCGAGCAAGAAGATCTGAAGCCCTGTCCAGCTCAGCATAGCCCATCTCCGCTGAAGCGTCTATAACGGCGACCCTGGACGGATGAGTAGAGGCTTGCTGACGGAAGAGGTCGACAACACTTGACTCGCGCGGGTAGTTGGTCTGCTCGACCTGAACTAGCCTCATCGCTTCGAGCTTCGCGAAGTTGTTGTTAGTTAATAACGGCAAGGATGCAACCACCGCCTTTGGGTCCTTTAGGCACCCTTCAAGGACGTTGTGGAAAAGCGACAGCATATTTTCAATTGTCTCGGGCGCATAGAGGTCTGTTGAGAAGACAACATTACCCTGGAGGCCATTTGTCTGAGGATAGAAATGGAACTCAAGGTCGAACCTTGAGGTTGCTGCGCCATGTATACCCTCTGTTTCCACGCCTTCTAGAACCAGTTGTCCCAGGTTTTGCTGAGAGTGCACCGCAAAGACAAGTTGTACAAGTGGATGACGAGACAGGTCTCTGTCCTGCTTAAGCTGCGAGACAATGGTCTCGAACGGCACGTCCTGGTTAGCAAGCGACGCAACTGCTACCCCGTGGACCTGTTGAACTAGTTCTTCAAAACTCTCGTCGTTAATTGTGATCCGAAGGCACTGCATGTTAACAAAGAATCCAATAATATCTTTAACCTCCCACCAGTCCCGATTCGCATTTGCAGTGCCAATGGTAGCATCGTCCTGGCCTGTAAGGCGGAAGTGCGTAGCTCTAAAGGCAGCGAGCAGAGCCACAAACAGCGTCACTTCGTGCGCGTTGCAGAAATCTTGTAGCTCCGCATACAGCCGGCCGCTGATCTCTAGTGTTCGACTATCGGCCTTGCCAGAGAGAGTTGCGGGTCTAGGCTTATCGCACAGCAGCTCTGCCGGTCGGCTTCCCTTTAGTTGCGTAAGCCAGTGGCTGAGCTGTCTCTGATGCTCGTCGACCTGGACTTGTTTTCTCTGCCACACAGAGAAGTCGCGGTACTGGATGGGAAGAGGTTGAACCTGGGATAGAGGGTCCTGGCTGCGCAACGCGGCGGAGTAGAACGCAGCCAGTTCGCGCATAAGGACATCGACAGACCAGCCGTCGGACACTATGTGGTGCATGACAATGGATAGTGCGTGATCATGTTCGTTGACCCGGTAGACCGATACTCTCCATCCAGGCTCAGTGCGTAGGTCAAAGGGAGTCGTCTGGTCCTGTTGCACGGCATCTATAAGACCCTGTTCATTGTCTGGGAGAATGTTGATGATATTGAGCTCTTTAGCGCGGAAGGGTTGCACAATCTGCACACTGACACCCCTATCAGTAGCGAATGTTGTTCGTAGGGTTTCATGGCGGCTTTCGATTGCATGGAAAGCGGCGTTCAGTGCTACAAGATTAAGGGGGCCCTTGAAACGCACGGCAAGTGGCATGAGATACCAAGTCAGGCCAGGGTGTAGTTCTTCCAAGAACCACAACCTGCCTTGGGCGAACGATTGCTTGACAGGACCAACATGGTCAACGTGCGGGATAGCGGTAAGGGAGTTATGTGTTGATACAATGACTGCAGAGGCTAATTGGTCCAGCTGCGGGTGGCGGAAGATGTCAGCCACGCTTAGGTGCATTCCTATCCTGCGAGCTTCACCGACTAGCTTCATTGCCATGATCGAATCGCCGCCGAGGCGGAAGAAGCTGTCGTCCAGACTAATACTCTGGGGCTCGATCTGCAGTGCCTGCCCCCACAGCTGCTGTACCATCTGCTCCGTCTGCGTCGATGGCAGCCGCTTCGGCCCTTGGCTAAATAGCCGCATCTCCGCCAATTGTTGGGATGAGAACGAGGCTCCAATCTCTCGCAATCGCTTTCTGTCAATCTTTCTTGATGAGGTCGCCGGCAAGTTTGCTACAGGAATGAACACAGATGGTACCATGTACTGTGGTAGCCACTGCTCTAGCCTGGCCTGTATTGCCTGTATGATGTCCTGTGTATGCGTTCGCCGCGTAGCGCGTTCTTCATCATCGTGCGCCGGGGGATTTTTACTATCGTCGACTACGATGAAACAGGCCAGCATACCATCTTCACCTTTAGGCCGGATAAGCTCGACCGCGATCTGCTTCGCATATGTGCTTGCAAGCTGGGCTTGATGCTCTATCTCCCCCAGCTCAATGCGCTGCCCACGCAGCTTTACTTGGTTGTCCTTTCGCCCGAGCAGCTCAATTGACCCGTCTTGCTTATATCTCGCCAGGTCTCCCGTCTTGTAGAGATGTGGCTGGCTTAGATTTTCGGCAAAGGAGCGTCTCCATGCTGGAGCTTTAATAAAAGTAGCGGCCGTCTTCTCTGGCTCGTCAATGTATTCCCGGCCAAGTATGGCTCCTTCGATGAGCACCTCACCAATGGCTCCAATTGGAGCAAGCTTACTGTGGTCATTTGGGTCCACAATCCAGTAGATGCCCGTGCTGGCTCGGCCTACATCTCTAGTTGAGGACATGCTATTCAATCGTCTAGAGGACACAAAACCAGACGTCTCGCTACTTCCATATGTCTGCCGCAGGTACACCCAGGCTTCCCACTGCACTATCTGAGAGATGCGTATTGGTTCTCCGCCTACGCATAGAGTAATCAATGATGGCACTGCCTTGGGGCTGAGGAGATCAAGGACGGTTGAAGTAAGGAATGCCCAGGTAATTCCCATCCTAGAGATAGCTGAGGCAAGATTACTTGTCCTCTCCTCGTCTGTCGGGATGCAGACACAACCTCCATGGGTTAGAGATAGAAGAATCTCAGCCAACGAACCAGCAAAAGAGTATGATCCAAACTGGAGCGTTCGAGTCCTGTGGTGCATTCCAACGTGTCGGCCGTGGCCTACCACAGCGGAGCACGCTGACCGATGCTCAATTCTGCATCCTTTTGG